AACGAGAAAGAGAAAAAGGTCCAATCTCAGCCACTACTTCTTGTCGTAGCGCATTCTGGATGAAATTAAACGGAATATGTTCCGAACGAAAACCCGAAAAACGACACACACGACCAAAACAACAACAACAAAAACTAACCAAGATGCCGAGCAAAACAGAACAAAATGTAAAGAGAACTATAAATAACATTGAGTCAGCTTGTGCGTTTTTTTCTCTCTCCGTCGTCGTCGTCATCTTCTACTTCTTCTTTTTTTTGTATTTTTGTTGTAAAAAAGCGTTTGTACGAGGCGCGAGTTGCGAGAAACCTCGTTCTCGGTGTGGAAAAGACGACAGCACCAGCATCATCAGCAGCAGCAGCAGCATCACGAGCGCCAAGCGAACCATCAAAACCGCTGTTTTTTTTAATGTTCTCGACGATCGACGATTTGTACAACGCATGTTATTCACTTCGAGACCATCAGAAAGTGTAATAAATACTTAGCACACAGCTAGCATTGGAGTTCGTGTAGTTTTTGCCACGCCAATGAGAGAGCATCCTAAGATGAGAGCTACGAGAACGATCGCGCGCGCACACGCTCACGCACCATTTGATGAGATGGATCTTTTGGTCACAGAAGAGACAGAAAGAGCGACAACGATAAAAAAGGCAGCATCAGCACAAACACACATGAAAATTATTCATCATTGCTGTTCATGCTGTGGCTGAGATATTGAGTGCAATTACATAAGTTATCAGCTCCCTTGCGGCTAACACGCATACACTAACGTGAAAAAGAAAAAAAAACTCCAAACTGACTGGAAAGAAAAGCCACAGCAAACCAAACCAAACCAAACCAAAAAAAAACCGTCAATCCATTGGCATTGCTCACGAAAAATCGGACAAGGCAATCGAGTTTTCGTTTTGTACACACGATCGAGTCTTGTGGCTCATCGGACTCGGTCGAAATTCATCTCTTTCGTATACAATGGCCAAGGAATTGTGCACAAGAATTCAAATAACAGCAACAACACAGGCAACTAAGGCAGCTAGTGTGTGAATGCAAGTCGTTGAACAAGATTTTTTTTAGAGGTTACTTTAGCGCCAATGTTCGATCATAAATACCTCGACAATGTTAATTAAAATTGCCGTAAAACATAAGCATGTTTTGAGAGAGGGAAACGAAAATTGAACTGAACATAGCTGACTCTAGCCGACTGTTGTGCGGCTGATTAAATGTGTGAATTTTTGTCAACAGCCAGCCCAAGAGTAATATAAATGCACCAGATCTTAAATGGCAGTTTTATGCGCATATAATGAAACGAAACGAAGATTTATGCGAATAAATCACATTCGCATACGAGCACTAACAACGACAACAGCAACAACAGCAACGATTAAAACGAAGTCGTATTTCTTTTTCAGCGAATATGAGCATTACGCAGGCAATAGCAGCAGCAGCAGTACCATATTTTAATCGTCGTCTCTTTTAGCATATGGTTTATGGTTTGCTCGTTACACTTTTATAAATCACCAGTGCTGAAATGAATTGTGCCATTCGGTGCCTGTATGATACCACAAGCATTCATTTGATCTCTTAAAAGTTATAAGTAGCTCTCATTTTTGGATGTGAATTCGTTTTTTATTTCTTTCCTGTGCACCATGCGGAAAAATCAAAACTGTATTGTTATGGGTACTTTGCTCTCTTCAGCTGGCTTGTAATACTCGCCAATGTGTGTATGTGTGCACGAGCGCGCTATCTGTGACTCTTTGAATCATTCTTGTTACAGCTCATGTTTTTTTCTCTTTTCTGTTGAAACTCATAGTTACGGATTATTTATTCCGTAGATACCGTAATATTCGCTTACGCGAAGACAATCAGATCACTTTTGTGACATGCAAGACTGCTCTTGCTGTGCCTCTTATGTTTTCTGTCTATTACAACAAACGCCATATTCAATATCTATGTATTTGAGTGTGAGCAAAAACCATACGGTGTTTTGATCATATTTCTTTCTCAACTTTTCATAATTTCGTTTCTTTTCTTTCTCTCTCTCTCTCTCCCTCTGTGTGTGTGTGTGTGTGTCAGCTGGCCGCTGTGATTTCATTTACATATGCGCAGACACACTCAATGAGTGAATAAAAAATGATCCCAAAAACAAATTACAATAAAGTGAGCGAGAATGGTGTAATATTTGGGACGTGTATGTTTCATAGATGAATGCAATCGAAATTCGACCTAGCCGCGATCAAAATATTGACTTTTGTTTCTGTTTCAGTTCTGTTTTGTATAACTGAACCGAACAAAAAAGCCAAAAAGCGAACTCGCGACTTCAACAAACTGTAAATGAACGACAAACGAATGGGTGTTTGGTGCCGCTGTATGTGTTTGTGTATTTGAACTAAAAATACACATTTATTTTCACTCATTTATTTGAACAATAAAAACAAGGCTGCTTCGTGCTGATTATTGAGCAATACGGTATGGTGTTGCTGTGAATAGGAAAACGGGTGTGAACGTCATAACGCATAGCCAATAGATCGAGCGAAACAGAAGCCAAAATTGAGTTCAAATATTGTGCCGCAAACGGCAATATTGAACTGAAAAGAACGCAACTTTTGCTTTTTTTCTATGGCATCGACATTGCCTCTAAACTATCTAGCGGTCGCCATCAATATTTTCCTTCAATCTCTCTTCTTTCTTCTCGGCCGAAAGTGTGTGCACAAAGAGTATATTACTAGCATTATTATTAAGCAATAAACTGACTTTGAATGTTCGTGCGTTCCTTTCATTTAGCCTGGTTTAGCGTTCATTGGTGGCGATGATCGATAAGAAGACGATCGCTTTTTATTGAGACCTTTAAACGGATCATGCAATTTTGTTGTTGTTGTTGTTTTCGCCTTTTTGCCAACCGAATCTGACCCAAAACGGATAAGTTGAAACATGGCGACTACGACCCAACTCGATATGTTTACGTACAAAGGTCATAAATGGATGCGGTAGTTTCTGTTTTCGTTCTCTTTTCCTTTATTTTTGTTTTAAAGTTCAGTGTTGAAGGTTTAGAATGTGTGTATGTGTGTGTGCTGTGCATTCTGAATCAGTTCGCTGTCACTTTTTTTTGTGAGTCGCCTTGAAACAATAGGTGGAGTAAGAACGATTTTCTTGTTTTTATTGCTTGTGCCATGCATACGAAATTGGAATCGCCTAGCGTTCTTTTGCACTGTTTTGTTCTCTCTTGCTATACCCAGAAGAAGAAGATTCGCTTGAGAAAATGAACCGTGTAAAACAAAACAAATCGCAACGATTGTTTTAAGCTACCTGTATTTGTTTGTAGTTACTGATTTCGACCCGGATTTTGTACTTTGTTGTTTCTGTATTCCGATCTAAAAGGGCGGTCGAATAGAGTCTTTTCCGTTTCGATTAAGAGAATCAGATACCTGAGCCAGCAGTTGAGAGGAGGAGAGAGAGGGAGATTGTGCAGTATGTTTTCAAACATGGTCCGACAAAACGATCAAAATGGACATATGAAGAGCACATCACATGAAACGGACGCTGAAGATGTGAAATACGACGCGAAAATTTGTATTCAGTTTCATTGGTGTAGACACGCGAAAACAAACAACAGCACACAACATGCACACACTTATTCTAAAGTGTAACGTCTTGATTTGGTCGCTCTCTCTCTCTCTCTCTCTCTCTCTCTCTCTCTCTCTCTCTCTCTC